ACAATCATATAAATTAAATTTTTCTTAAGGGTATCATTGCGAGCCTTTCTTTTTGTCTTAACATAATTTGTTTTTCAATTATAAATCTTGCACTAAAAAAATTCCGAAGCATTTCTTTTATATCAAATTTCGAAAAACTATTTTTTAAATAATCCATGTTAATGTACGGTCGTTCTTAAAAAAAATAAAGATAAAACAATTTTAAATAAATATGGTAAATATGCATAAAAGATTAATATGGAAAGATTAATATGAAAGATAACTATGATAAATATGTATAAAAGATTATATCTCATTTGATGTTGCTGAAATTGATATGGGTCATTATTTTTCAACCGGTAAAGCTGGCTGCCCAAAATTGGTTTGAATCAAAATGAACAAGGGTTTAAAATTCGCGTAAAAATATAAGCTTTCGAATGCCGTGTGCTATTTTTTAAAATTCAAAATGGCGGATACAATATGGCGGCTAAACGGTGGGAGTAAAAATTTTAATTTATCTAATTTAAATAAAAATATTTGTAAGGAAGTTTTGAGGGTCGTTGAGTACGAATATAAAGTTGGAGTTGAAAAATTATTGTGTTTAAACAAATTGTTTAAATTATTTATACTAAATAATTTAAAAACTCTTTAAAGTAGTTTCCTTGCTGTTTTAAATTACACAGTTCAACGAAAAATCTGCGACGATAAAGGCCAATATTTCTTAGTAAACTTAAGGTCGCTGAAGCCGAATCTGCCAGTAAAAAATCACATCAAATGATTACTCGATTTAAGATAAATCGAGTAATATAAATACTACGTTTCTTGCCATATTTACCAATTTTTTGTTATCAAACGAAATTTTATTTTTCAATTTCATTGACGCTACTTTAACGCTCTTCACTGCTATTGATGCACTTTTGCGTTAAATAAAGGATGTACCAAAAATGACATTGACGCCCCGGAAAAAAATGTTTCATATATAATCATATATAAAGCGACATATTTAATTATTTATAATTATATACAGGGTGACCCATTTTAATCTATAATACCGAATATCTCCTAAACTACCCATTCTACGGGAAAATAGTTGCGACAAAAAATGTTCAGGACAGAAGGGTTCACAAACCTGTGCTAATGACCTTGACCTTGAGATGACCTTTCAAGATTATTTGAAGGTCAAGGTCTTTTTTTTCAATGGGAACCCCTATTTTTGACCCCGGATTTGGAAAGAACAGGAAATTTTACGTTCAAAATGATATTTTGAAAATTTTTTATATGATCTTCAAAGGTCAAATAAAGGTCAAATGTCTAAAAATGGCTGTAGAGCTGTTTTTCTGAGTGATTATGGTTTTTTAGGATTGACAAGCGTTGGAGGAACTTTAAAAAGTAAGTGTGATACGCTATGACCTTCTTGACCTTTAAGTTAACTATGAAGGTCATTTGAAGGTCGAGGTGATTATTTAAAATAGGAATCCCTATTTTTGACTTTGGATTTGAAAAAGCAGGAAATTAACGTGAGTAAAGACACGTCTTCGCGATTTTCATCACTCGTGTGAAATCCACCACACAAGGTGAAAATCGCTTTCTTGCACGCTCATTGGAGTGAGATATTCTTCTTACTTTTGGCGTTACCCAGAAACAACGACGTGGACTTAGTAAGTACTGTTTCCTTTGGGGTGCTTGAGTCCTCTTGCCTCTCACGTTTGGGGTGCTTGATTCCCGTGAGTCCCTTTGCCTCTCACGTTTAGGGTGCTTGATTCCCGTGAGGTAACGCCAAATGTAAGAAGAATATCTCACTCCAATGAGCGTGCAAGAAAACGATTTTCACTTTGTGTGGTGGATTTCACACGAGCGATGAAAATCGCGAAGACGTGTCTTTACTCACGTTAATGTCCTGCTTTTTCAAATCCAACGTCAAAAATAGGGATTCCTATTTCAAATAATCACCTTGACCTTCAAATGACCTTCATAGTTAACTTAAAGGTCAAGAAGGTCATAGCGTATCACACTTACTTTTTAAAGTTCCTCCAACGCTTGTCAATCCTAAAAAACCATAATCACTCAGAAAAACAGGTCTACAGCCATTTTTAGACATTTGACCTTTATTTGACCTTTGAAGGTCATATAAAAAATTTTCAAAATATCATTTTGAACGTAAAATTTCCTGTTCTTTCCAAATCCGGAGTCAAAAATAGGGGTTCCCATTGAAAAAAAAGACCTTGATCTTCAAATAACCTTGAAAGGTCACCTCAAGGTCAAGGTCATTAGCATAGATTTGTGGACCCTTCTGTCCTGAACATTTTTTGTCGCAACTATTTTCCCGTAGAACGGGTAGTTTAGGAGATATTCGGAATTATAGATTAAAATGGGTCACCTTGTATAATTATATATGATATTTTTTCCCGAGTATTTTAGTTCAAATTTAGAAAAATTTAGTGCAAAATCATTATTAATTAAAATAGATTGAGGAAAGTATAATGAAATATTATTTTGTCTAAATAATAAAAAAAACATTTATTCGTGAGATGCGGCGTTGTTTCGATCCCGTGTGAGACGACCACCATCTTTAGATGACCATGTTGTTCCGATGACTAACTTCAACGATCGTACGGGAAACTGATGATGCCACTACGCTATAACGATATCCTGTAACGGATATATTCTTATATCGTTCAAAAATGTAATGACATATTTGTTGGTATGTTTCAAAGGATGTAACAACAATCACAATGCAATTAATATAATTATAAAAAGAGTCTAGCCATAACCTTACTATGTCAAAATATTGCAAGAGAGAAAGAAGTGTGACAACACACTCGTAACGACCGACCTGACCGACCATCAGTCGGGTTGGAAACGGCGCGAGCGCCACATTTTAAGAGCTTTACATAGTCGCGAAGGCACAAGTCTCGGCGTGACGCAAGCGTCGAGCACGTATCCAGCGCCTGAACGCCGCATGCCACGCCGCGTGCCGAATATGGCAAGAAACGCAGTTTTTTACCCATATTACTGGATTTATCTTAAAAACACGACGGGCATTTTTTGTTGGCGGATTTGGATTCAGCGACTTTGAATTTACTAAAAAATAGTAGCTGCAATCATCGCAGGAAAAAGGCAAATTTTATCGGACAGTGTTATTTACACCTAAATAATTAAAATAATAAATAACTCCCATCGTTTAGCCATCATATTGGATTCGCCATTTTAAATTTTTAAAAATAGTACACTGCATTCGAAAGCTTATATTTTACGCGAATTTTAAGCCCTTATTTCTTCATTTTAACTCAAACCAATTTTGGACAGCCGGCTTTACCGGTTGACAAATAATGACTTATATTGTAGAGATGATAGAAATGATTTGCAAAAAGAACTTGGTGGGGGACGATATTGTGTGTTTAAGGAGATATAACAAAATTTATACTTTTAAATTTATACTTTTCTAATTAAGTTTCAGATGGTACGAAGTTTATTTATACTGTAAATACTGTAAACATGAATTTTAGTATTATAATTTAAAAGAAACTAAAAAGAACATTTTTTAGAGAGGTTGGAGACTTTGTCCCCTAAAATCTAACCTAAAGCATTGTTGCGAACGTGGTAGTTGTGCTCATCCGTCGCAAATATAATCGTCACGTAACATGTGCCTGTTGTAAATTTGCCTATCAAGCAATGACAAAAAAAATATATATATATATAATATTGTGTCCGCGCTACCGGAGATGGTTCGATCTTTTTGATGATCCCGGTATTAAAGAGACAGAGGAACGAGCTTTGGTTAGCAACGGAAATAACAGCGGCTGTCAGAGAGTTGACAGCGAGAAGTAGTCGCGAGCGGTCGTGTTTCCGACGGTATCAATTCTGAGACTGTAAAGACGTGTTTTCGCCGTACATTAAAGCTTCTTGTTCTTTATAATTGTGTGTTACGTTCATTTCTCCCGTGCGCGATCGCGTGTGCAAGTGTGGGCATAACACATACATATATATATATATATATATATATATATATATATATATATATATATATATATATATATATATATATAT